ATTAGGCTTGATCCGTAGGTTGGACGATATTGGACACGTGCTCGTATAAACAGTCTCCGGGTTATCCAGCTTTCTACCTCCATCGGTTCTATATTAGCTAATAACCATTTTGTTATAGGGACCCCTCCCCTCCCTCCCTCTCGAGATTTCATTTAACACATGAAATTATATTAATACCTGAGATTTGGCCATCCCCCACCTCCAAAATATTAGCTAATATCTGTCACTTCCCTTATGGTGTACGCGGTGTCTGCCCGACCAACAACGGTGGATGAGGCGTTAGAGATTGCTCGAGTAACTGCCGCCGCATGACCAATAATCTATAAAAATAAAAATGGCCACTATGAGAAAGATATCTCTCGGAACCGACAGACTCCACCAATTGATCCATCCAATTCAGAGCTCGATAGACTAATAAAAGAATTGACACCAACGATGGAACGCCAGAAAGAGGTATCCGTTAGAGAAGCGGAGAGGCGAAAGAAATACGGAAGAACGACGCCGAGAACTGAACCTAGTGGGAAATTTGGCCATATTGCTCGAAATTGCTTGGAAAATAAAATCGAAGAAATAAAAATAATAGAATTGACAATGGGGATGACAAAAGGGGAGCCGTTGCTATGTTAGCCACACTGAATCGACGGAGGAACAAGTACTTAAACTACAAGAGGAAACGGGAGACGAAGACTCTGACGTCAATATATGTGAGTCAGGCAACAGTACACGGTTGGGATGCTGTCGAATCCGAAGAACTAGGGGGTGAGTCAGAAGGGGGGAAGACGAAGTTGGTCTATATGTAAGCTCTGAGGACAGTTGCGACCTAAAAGACGTTGATACTGTCTACTGTAACGCCAAATTGACGACACCTATACTTACATGATAATTGATACTGGTGTCTCGAGATGTGTAGTTACTAAAGATTTCTTGGATGATATCGGCCAGACAATAAATCGCCCTACCAAGATTTCAATGAAAGGAATTAGCGGCGGATTTCAACAATATACTATTGTTTTTATAGCGCTTTTCAATGTATTTTCAATAAATGTGATTTAAAGTGTAGAATATTAATTGGGCTAATTGCTACAACTTTACATTTATTTGTTGCACCCCGTTACATTTCATTTTGTCATGGGACACGTGATTTTAGAATGATTACAATTTGATTGGTTAAGCATAATTATTTATATGGATCATTAGTGCATGCCTCACAAAACCAGATGATTAAATAATTTGTTAAAAAACAACATGTAACCCTTATAATTCATTTTCACCTGAAGCCTAGTATTAAAAATTAGTACTTAAGTTAGAAAAAAGAACCTAGTAGAGTCAATAAAAAAAACTCGTTAATTATGATCATAACATTCATCTTCTTTTTTGAATTTGCAAATTCTTTTTTAGTAAGCATTTGAAGGTTGTTTAACTTTTTATTTCAAGTTTCAGAAGTCAAAGTCATTAATGACTACAAAAAAAGAATCAATGTGAGTGATTATTGATTTTCATTAGTAATTTGTATTTAACTTTTTTTTTCAAAATATGACAATATCACTTATTATTCAATTGACTTATCTAGATTCATGGATTTTTTTAGATTTCTTAACCAACCTCACTTAAAAGATTTATTTCATGTGTAATGTTCAATAACTTTTGGTAATTTTTTTATTGTCATAAGATATCACGTAGATACTAATAGTGAAATCTCAATAGGTAAGTAAAGTTTTGATTCTGTTGCTTTTTTGAATGTTTTGCAAAGTTGTTTATTATTTTCAGATTCTTTTATAGGCTTTGGTCTAGTCATAGAATAACACAAAAGATGGAAATAAAGTATTTAAACAGTATTTGAAATCAGCGAAAGGTGGTGATATATTAGAATAACTTGGTTTTTATTATAGAAATAGAAATTGAAATATAAAAAGATATATCATAGTAATAATAAAATAAATTTCTTAACATTGAAGTTTAATCGTAATCACACTTTTTTTTATCCTTTCCATTAAATGATTATTAAAAGCAACTAATAATATTTGATTAATACCAACATTTATAATTTCTCTAAGAACTATAGTAATATTGAATGCTGCTGTTGATTATTCACTTTTTTTGTCACTTCCTAATTAATTTAATCATGTTTGTTGTAATTGTGATAGTGATAGATTAGTAGTTTGTTCAGGATGTAGAGAATCTTAATTCTAGATATTGAATCAGATTTTATTTCTTTTTTTTCATACTGTTGTATAATGATTTTTTATTATAACATTTTATATTATTGGATTATATATATTTCATATCTTATTGAATAAAGATCAAATCACATGAAGCAAGCGAACAAGCAAATGAGTGAGCAAACAAATGAATAACTAAGTGAATGAGCGAATGAATAAATGAATGAATGAATATTGGATCAATAGAATTTAAGTGATATAATGAACATGAATTCATATAGCTAAAAAACTATATCTTAAAATTGTATAAAAGCAACATGTATCGTAGTTATTAGAATTAGATATGAACAACTTCTTTTAGATAGTAATTTCCAATTATCACATCTAATTAGTTATCATGTAGTTTTGATCATTCAAAAAAAAGTAGTTTGCACTTTATGTAAAGTAGATAATCAAGTGCAAACTTCTCTCTACACCCTTTTAACAAAGTATTCATTTTCTTGTATAATAACTTTATAAGAAGTTATACAGATCTTGAATCAATACATATTATAGTAGCTTAAGCAAGATTATCAAAAGCACTATAAAAGTTATCATTTTTATCCTAGACTTTTTGAACACATTGTGATAAAGTTTATTAAATATTATATTAGATAAAGGAATTATTATTATAATTCATAAATTTGTCTTTAAGATTATATTGCTAATAATATATTATTCATAAACTTATCTTTGACTTTGTATTGTTTGTTAATAATATATTGTTCATACATTTATATTTAATTTTGTATTACTAATAATACGAATATTATATAATCTCTATAACTTTAACTCTGAGATTTTGAGAATTCTTTTTAGCAGTCCAGTTATTGCATTAAAAAAACATAACTGTTACCAACCTTTAAGTGATTCTTATAAGTACTTATCGTACTTTAATTTATATTCAGTCTAAAGTCATAAAGTATTATTAAGACTGTGAATTGTTATTAAGACATTCAAGTTTTTCTTTGAATATCATAAATACTCTTGAGTATTTCAAAGTTCCATCAAAATGGTAACAAAATTTTGGTGCTCCCTCTGTGGATCAAAATCTCAAAAGCGTTATTTTGAAAATACTATTATTAAATCTCTTGTGTGTATTGAAATTTTGAAATATTATAAAGTTCCATTATAAAAGAACAATTATTAGTAAAAGAATTCTCTATGAATTGAAATCTCAAAAGTGTTATAAAGCACCATTATAAAAGAACATTGAATGGAAGAACATTAAATTCATGAGATTAAAGAATATTAAGTAAAATATTTAAGTGACATAAAAGAATTTTTGATTAAATATTTACCAAAAAAAAAATCCTTTGTGGATAAATAACTATTAACTCAAACTGGATCCAACAAAATCCACTATTGTTGAAATCAATAAACAATTTGAAGCTTTAAAAGATGAAATAGATTTGAAAAAAAATCTTATCAGAACACAACTTAAAAAAATCAAAGATCAACTTGTAAATATCTTTAATATAATTTATACTGAAAATACAAATATTGAACCAGTAAATCAACTTAGAGATATATTAGAACAATACTTTCAATAAAGTAAACAAGAAATGCAAATATACTTGTATAATCTTCAACAAGAAGCTACAGATTTTCTTGTACAAAGAGTAACTTACCGTAAATAACAAAAACTTTGAGAAGAATTAATTGAATTATAATAACCAGAAAATCAAATAGTAATTCAAGATAACCCACCTTTACCAATACCAGAAGAAGATAATGAAGAATCAAAAGAAGAACAAGAAGAAAAAATAATAGACAACACTCAATTTAATAATCTGATTAATAATCTTAATCAATTGACAACTGTCATTGATAATAACCAAGAAAGAGGAGAAGTAAAATTTGCAAAAATTATTAACTTCTATAATGACACTCAAGATCCTATCAGATGGCTCCAAGACTTTGAAAATACAAGTTGACCTAATAATATATCTGATCTTAGAAAGTGATAAATTATTGACACATATTTGAAAGAATCTGCTGGAACATGATTAGCTAATAAAAGAGTCTTAATAGCAGATTGATCAATCCAATGGAATCCAAATGATTCTACCAGTCTAATAGATTTAGCAACTTCCTTTACCTATTAATTTAAATAAAAATTTAGAACTATTGATAAGATATATAAATGGCAATGACAATTGAATCAATGAAAACAATTACTAACTGAAATAGTATAACAATATTCTGTTACTGTAAGAGAATTACTTCATTGTATTGATCTAGATAATGAATATTCAGAATATCTGAAAGTAATGATGTTTATTGAAGGATTAAAGCCAGAAATAAAATTATTGTTAGTTCAACTTGACCAGCTACTTTAGATGATGCTATTTATACTGTTCAATTATATAGATCAAGCTATCAATAATTTACTGATTAAATATTATCAATATGACATCAACAACAAGTCTATTGAATATTAACAGCCAATAGAGAATAATTTAAATCAAGTCTCACAACAACTTGCAGCTTTGGCAACAAAATTAGAAAATTTAACAATTTCAAATAACCAAAATCAAAATCGTCAAAATAGCAAATATAATAATAATAATAATAATTATTCAAATAATCAATAAAGAAATTATTATAATAATAATTATAATAATAATAATAATAATAATAACAACTTACCAATCACTTGTTACAATTATGATAAAATTGAACACATTGTAGCAAAATACTTTAGTAAGAAAGATAATAATTATAATTAGCACAATAATAATAACAACAATTGATATAAAGATAATAATAATCAGCAAGGTAATAATAATTAAAACAATAATCAAAGTAACAATTGACAAAAGGTCTTCTTGAATATTAAACAATCTTTAAACTTCTAAATGCACTTCTAGGAGGTGAATATGCATCAGCAAATAAAAACTCTTCAAACAAATAATTTTTAAACAATTATTAATTAATAATGAATAGGAAAATAATTATAAATAAATACCTATTGATACTTTTTACTATACTGAAAAAGTAGAAAACAAAAATATTATAATTATAATTAATAGTAGAGCTGTTAGTAATATTGTATCCAAAGTATATTTGAACAAAATTAATTGAAAAATTCAAAAATCAAGTAATATCAATTTAATTAGAATTAATAGAAATAAAGAACAACTACTTGGAGAAGTTATAGACCTACCAATAACTTTAGAAAATCAAAATCTGAATATTAATGTACTAGTAATTGAAAAAGGAGATTATGATCTCTTATTAGAAAATATTTGGGCTCATAATCATCAAGAAATTGTAGATTGAAAACAAAAAATTCTTATCTTTGAAATCAACAATCAAAAGAAAAAAATATCAGTATCTTGTCTTAAACAAAGAAATATAATAGAGGAACAAAATGAAGAAACTCTATTCACTCAAAAAGATGACATTGAAATCAAAGTTTACCTTGACAAACAAAAAGGCAAAGAACCTGAAAAAACACATAATACTAATGCTAGATTTGACTTAAGATTTCCAGAAGATAAATCATTAGAAGTGAAACCAGAAAAAATAATTTTCATTGATAGTTATATTGTAATAGAAATACCTAAAAATACTTATTGTCAACTTGTATCAAAATTATCTTTAGCGAAACAAGATATTGAAATAAAAGAAGAAACAATCGATGCTGGATATACTGAAATATTAAAATAATACTTTA